ATGTCCTCGTAAAAATAAAGGCTGACATCACCGCCGTCCAAGAAATGCGATGGACGGGACAAGGACAGAGACGAGTAGGTCCTTGTGGCATTTACTATAGTGGCAATATAAAGGAGCGCAAGTTTGGTGTAGGATTCGCGTTGGGAGAGAGACTGCGTCGCCGAGTACTATCATTCACCCCGGTGAATGAACGTCTAGCCACAATCCGCATCAAAGAGAGGTTCTTCAACATATCGCTGATTTGCGCCCACGCCCCGACGGAAGAGAAGGACGATGTGACCAAAGATGCATTTTATGAGTACTTGGAAAGCACTTATGAGAGCTGCCCCCGCCACGATATCAAAATCGTGCTTGACGCCAGGGTGGGCCAAATGGGTTGAGGCTGATCGACTTCGAAAAGCCACCAACCAGATCGATCATTTTGTGATAGACGGAAGACACGTCTCCAGTGTTTTAGATGTGCGTGAGCTCCGAGGTCCTAACATCGCCTCGGACCACTATCTTGTTGCAGCCAAGATTTGCACGCGCCTCTGTGCAGCAAAAAACGCACGCCATCAAACACAAGGAAGGTTCGACGTCGAGAAGCTGCAATCACAACAGACAGCCGAACGATTTTCTACTCGGGTTTCACTCCTGCTCTCTGAGAGCACTCGTCAACAACACACAACAACTCGGTATACAGCTGCAACCGAAACCATTGGTTTTCGGAAAGTACAAAAAATAGCTGGTACGACGAGGAGTGCCGTGTCGCAGCGGAGAGAAAACAGCTGCCTACCTCGCAACGTTACGACCACAACACGTGCGGGATGGGATAGATACCGAGAGTTGAAGAGCGAAGGGAGAAGAATTTGCAGACCGAAAAAGAAAGTGGCCGAATTGCGCGAGTACGAAGAGCTTGATAAACTTTCCGATAGGGGTGATGTTCGAAAATTCTACGAAAAAATGCGGCGTCTTACAGAAGATTCCAAGACCGGAGCATACTCTTGTAGAACCCCAAAGGTGGTCTAGTCACCGATGCCCAGAGCATACTTAAATTATGGAGGGAACACTTCTCCAGCCTGCTGAATGTCAGTGAACGCACAACGCCAGGAGAAGGCGAACCCGATTCCCCAATCGATGACGATGGAGCAGACGTTCCATTGCTCGACCAGGAAGAAGTTCGAATAGCAATTACCCGCCTGAAGAACAGCAAAGCGGAGGGGGCCGATGGACTGCCGACCGAACTATTCAAACACGGCGACGAAGACTGATAAGGAGCATGCATCAGCTCCCAACGATTGGGATTTAAGTGAGTTATGCCTAATCCTCAAAAAAGGAGACCCCACAATCTGCGCCAACTACCGTGGGATAAGCTCCCTCAACATTGCATGTAAGGTTCTATCGAGCGTATTGTGTGAAAGATTAAAGCAAATCAACAAACTGATTGGACCTTATCAGTGTGGCTTCAGACCTGGAAAATCAACAACCGACCAGATATTCACCATGCGCCAAATCTTGGAAAAGACTCG